AAAGAATCCTAATTTTGCCATGTGTAATCTTTTTATCATTTGTGTTTTGCCACGTGGCTTCTTCCTATAAATTAGTATTATGTTTTCCCTCTAACACTTCAATTACACTCATTGCATCCCTTAAAACCACCAAGTTTCTCAAATTTGAAATCTATAGCATGATTTTTACACTCTTTACATCGTGAATGTAGGGATTTAAAATTTTAAATTTGAATCCCCCTATCTTCCATATCTCTACCTTGACTCTTCTCATAACCCTAGCTCCAAATCCATCTCTATCGCTTATTGTTTCCACTTTTATCGTGTATACCGTCGCCTAATGTTTTTTGGGCATTTTTCATTCTTATTGATGAGTTGTATCTGTATCTAGTGCTTAGGTGCCCTTCTACGAGGTTTGATAAAGCCCAAACCATATATCAATGTTCATCAATTTCCTCAATGCTTGGATTTTAATTTCCCACGTTTGATTTTTAGGTCCATCTTCATCATTTTGTTTCTGATTTTCCATGTTTTTTGTATGTTAAATTTCTAGATACAAACAAAGATGTAGATGCTGAAGCATGACCTGATGATTTCTTCACTTACTTATGGTTTACTTGTGGTGGAACTATGCTCGAACCTTACTTTTGGCTCTACTTATGGTTGGAAGTCATCAATAACATAGTAAGGACATCCCCATTATATTTAATTTTTCATCTTGATTTTGTTCTATCTTATTTTAAGGCATGTTATGGTTATGTCCAGGAACAAATGGTTGATTGATGAAATACCTTCATAGTTTGGAAATTTTAAGTACCTTCATGAACTTTAATCGGATACAAATAGGTTGCAAAGATCTGTTTCTGATGGTAATGCTTTGAGTATTATTTCAAATATAGTGAATGTAAGTACATTAAGTTAGTTCTTTCTTTCCATTAATTGTTGTGTTTTTGGATAACTGAAACATGATGGCCCATTTGGAAGGCACCTTCAGGTGATGGTCAAAAGAAGATTAATGCCAACAAGTGAAGTTCATCCAAGGAATTGGAAGGAAAGTATTAATAAAAGGTTAAGTTATCAATATTTTTGATTCTCGTTTGTACACATAAAGATTTTGTGAGCAATAAGTACGTTATATTTGCAGGTGACCCAACCAACACCTATAGTGGTAGGATTATGCTTGCATGTTACCAGTTTGTTGTTTATGTTCTTCATATTTCGTCTTAAGGCTTGATTTTGCAATTAGCAAATAAAACCCATTATAGGTTTCGATGATTGTGGAAAGTGTTTCATGAAATTGAAAGGGACATAATGATTTTTAGGATTGTACAAGGCAGAACCAGAGCCTCATACGAAGTTTTGGAAGTGATTTGATTTTAGTTATGTCGTGATGAATGAATCATGCCAGTTTTCTCATTATTTTTCTAGATATGAAGACGTTTTTCTAACATCATATATCATATATCATATTATAAAAGAAGCATTTTTCCTATCACCACATTCATTTGAAACTCGCATGCATTTTTTCTTTCACCACATTAATTTGAAACTCCCATGACTTTTTAATTTCTTTGTAATAATAATAATTATAAGTTGGTTAATAAGGATAAATAAATATCAAACATAAAGTGTAATCATATATAAACTAAATTTCAATATTAAAATAATATCTTTACTTCTATTTATAATGTTTTTTTTTTATTGTTTTTTTTATTTTTATAATTTTAATGTATTATACCTAATTTATTAGTTTTGATATATTGTTGGATGTAAACCATTATCATTTTAAAGATATAATTTTGGAACAATTTGTATAAAATATTTAAATTATTAAGTTAAATATAACATTACATGGTCAACTTAAATATAAATTTTAGTTTAACTTTAACAACCCAAAAAATATTTTGTAAATAGTTAAAAGTGATAAATTGTAGTGTCTTTTTAATAATGATTATAAGTTAGTTAATAAGGTAAACTAAATATCAAACCTAAAGTGTAATCATAAATAAACTAAATTTCAATTTTAAAATAATATATTTACTTCTACTTATAAAGTTATGTCTGTAACTTTTAACATATTATACTCAAGGTTGTAGAAATCGTTCGACTTAGGCTAATCGGTTAGGCAGGGATTGATCGGGGACCATTAATTATTAAAAAAGTATTAAAAAATTAATAAATATAACATTAGTCATAATAATATAAGTAAACACAATTATGACACACAAACATGAACCTGGAACAAAGAACAACATTTTAACCACATTAGGCATTTCATCGAGAACATCGTATGCATGTTGATAAACCCAAATTATAACACACAAACATGAACTTCTTATTTCCAGTATACAAACAGCTGCTTATTTCCAATATACAACCAAATAGAATCAAACCCAAACACAAATTATAAGTGATTACAGAATCACAAATTCACGAATTCACAACCAATATATAACAAGAAGAATGAGAAGAAGGAGCCTAAGCTATTAAACTACAATCTTTTATTATTACGTGTTTCGTGGTTTGATGGGGGCAGGGGCGACTGGTCACAATGATTGAGAACGAGAACAACCAAAATTGTGATGGCATTTGATTGCTTCTTAGTGTTTCGACAAACAACAAATTAACAATCACTTCGTCTAATTCAATCACTAACGAGAGGGAGAGAGAGTCGATCAGGTGAAATCGACGAATTTCGATGAAGCGATGAGCCGATGGTACATGAAGCGATGTGTGAGGCTCCGTCGATCTCGAGCAACTCTCAATTCCAACTATTTTGCGTTTGAGCAACTCTCAATTCTGATGCTTATTCTTCAGCCCTGTGGTTGATCCCAGATTAAAGAAAAAAAACAATCCAATATCTTAATAAAAGCATATGAAATCGTTGGAGTAGGCTTTTCCGATCAAACCGAGAATCCCAAACATCCTCTAAACATACGAATAAGAAAATAGAAGAAGAAGAGAGAATGAATTGTTGATTTTGAGTTTGAGCAGCTCTCGACTCTATTAATTGTGTTTTTTCAATTTAGTATCCCACATTGTTGGTGGGATAAAAAACCAAGGCAAACATTCCTATAAAAAAGGTAGAAGGCCTCACTGAAATTCAGATCCAACCATACTTTAGGGGCAGCGGTCTCTTTTGAGCCTAATTTTGGGTCCGATTTTGGATCCAATTTTGGGTCCAATTTGGATCGAATTGGACCGGCTTTGACCGGTTTTGACCGATATTGACCAAGGCCGACTTTTTTACTCTCTAACCCTTATTCGTAGGCGGTTGGAGGCCACCAAGCGCCTAGGCGCCGATTAATCGGCCACTTAGACCAATTTTTACAACCATGATTATACTTAATTTCTTAGATTTAAAATGTTGTTATATGTGAATCATTATCTAGACCAATTTTTACAACCATGATTATACTTAATTTCTTAGATTTAAAATGTTGTTATATGTGAATCATTATCTGTTTAAAGCTACAATTTTTGAACAGTTTGGACAAAATACTTAAATTGTTAATTTAAATATAACATTATAATGTCAACTTAAATATAAATTTATGTTCCACTTAAAAAACCAAAGAATATTTTATAAATAGTTAAAAATGATAAATTGTAGTAATAAATGCAAAAACAAAATTGTAATCTCAATTTAACTAAAATATTTCGTAAATGTATTTTTATAATCGTTAAAAGTTTTCAAATAAATAGCTTAAAATAATATACAATAATAATTGTTAAAAATAACTATATTTAAATAATTATAATGATAGAAATTAAAAAATTAAACAAATAAATTTTAAAAAATCAATTAATAATAACAACTGGAAATAAGATTAAACCATATATTATATTTAATTTAATTCATTTGAACTCGCGAGTAGAAGTCATTAAAACGATTGAGATTATGCAGTTATAATAGATGTATATATTATCATATAATTCAAAATAATCACTATTATATCAATTTAGTATACGAATTAACATATCAAATTTAACAACGTCATTTTATATTTTTAATATATATATATATATATATATATATACTTCAAGTATATAGGTGTTTCCGCGGCAACACGTGAACATTCGCCTAGTTAGTTATAGTATCATGAACACCTTTTCATTTTACCAGCTCTTTAGTTTAGGAAATAATCTGGTGCAGAATACCATTATTCATTCTTGTTTTCTGGTATTATGTTGTTAAGAAATGGTGGATTTGAGAAAGAAGCAAAAAGTCTAAATTGGGATGGTAATTTTTTTTATCACTTTACTGGACTTTAATGTGGAAAAGAAATCAGCACCAACGTTACATTTTATTCTTCAAAATGCACTTGTTGTTGGCAATCAAGTAATTTGATTTACAGTAACCTCTCAATTTGTTCCTTTTTTTGCCCTTTTTAATTTAAGAAAGATTATTGTTGTAAGTTACTAGGTTTTTGAACGGTATCTTCTTTTTTTTTTTTTTTTTTTTTTTTTTTTTCGAGGGTATAATTGGGAAACATTGGGAAAATAGATGAAGAAATATTTAAAAATTCAAAGGTGGTTGTTTAAAGAAAAAGCTACAACTATTTTTTCCTATTTTTTTTTGTTTTCATTTCTCTTCACAATTTCATTATCATTGAATGTTTATGTGAGACCCGGGTTTGTGACATTCTGGTGTACATACTATTGGTTTATTAGAAAAAGCTAGAGTAAATTACACGAATGGTCCCTGTGGTTTATTGTAAATTACACTCTTGGTTCCTAACTTATTTTTCTAACTCAGACTGTCCTCAACTTTTAATTTTGTAACCCGCCACGTCCCTATTCTCACATTTCGTCAATTGTTTCCGTTAGACACCCCACGTGCCTTGCACGTTGGGGGTATAAAAGTCTTTTCACATATCCAATGTTATACTGCCAAGAAAAAAAAGGACGTATCGTTGATCAACGTGATCAGACACAAGCTTCACAGACAAAACCTTTGAAAATCCTTTGAAAACCCTTGAAAACCCTTGATCGAAAGAACCCTACATTTGAAAACGACGATGGCGCCTTGGAGGATACGTGCTACCATGGACGAGATTGACGTTGCTCGTAGATATGGTAAGTGTTTACTCCCTCAATCAGTTAGTAACTTAAAAAGAAAAATGTGACTAACCAATCTTTCCGTGAATATACAGCCGGACATCCGACGATATTCTCTGTCCGATTACACCATGGTGGACAGTTTACAAAGTTCCCTGGAAGAAAGTACATCAAAGGAAAGCAAAATTATGTTGACTTACTAGACATTGACACCTTTTCCATTCACGACATTGACGAGATGATGGAGGAACTTGGGCATATTGATTCAGACGAAACACTACTCTATTATCATTTCCTGAGACCATTTGGCGATTTGGATTTTGGGTTATTTGCTTTGGGTTCAGATCAGGATGTTCATCATCTGGGTACGTATGTTGCTAACCATAAGCTAATAGATGTATATATTGAGCATGGGAAAACAAATTTACATACTTATTCTATGTCCCCCAACCCTAGTAAGGTTAAAATTGTTGAAATTAAAGAGCCACCATCTTGCTCCAAACAGTTGTTCTTGGAGTGGAATGACTCTCCAATTGAGCATGAGAGTGTTCCAGACCTAACAGAAGTTGAGAATGATAGTCATTTGGACAAAGAACCATCTTTGGTCGACCATATTGAATTTGAAATGAATGTAGAGAATGAGGATGATTATGATGGTAGTGGACACAACAATGGCAGTGGAAATGATGAGTTTGATGATGATAGTGAGAGTGAAGATAGTGATTTTTTTATTGATGAGGACAATCTCATACACGATGTTGATGTGGATATGAAAGATTTCCATATGAACATTGACAAGGATGTAGAATGTGTTGGAGGTTCTTCTGAAAGTAATGTACCTGAAGATACACAACAAGGTGACTTAGAAGTGATCAGCACAGAGATTTTGTTGTCTGGGTCTTCATCAGATGAGGCAAATGATGGTAAGCGAAGGAAAACTATTAAGGCCATACAGAGGGCTTATGAAAATGATGCAGCTTTGGTTAGTGAGCCCTTCTACATTTTTCAAACTTTCAGTTCATCTAAGGACTTTAAGACACAAGTGAAACTACATTCCATAAGAACAAGAAGGGAAATACAATTAGAGAAAAATGATAAGAATAGGGTTAGGTTTGTGTGTAAGGGCACTATACCAAATCTTGCTACTAATTAAGAAGAGAAATGCCCATGGGTTATATATTGTAGTAAGTGGAAGCGTGACATAGATTGGATGGTTAAGACATACACGAAGGAGCATCGATGTCTACAAACAAGGAAAGTCAAAGCATGTGACTATAAGTTCCTTTCAGAGCATATAGTACAAGTTATTGAGACAAACCCAAAGATTCCTATTAGGGCTTTACGAGAGCAACTCCAACGTGAGTACCAGATGGACATTTCGCATATGAAAACTTTTAGGGCAAAGCAGCAAGCTTTAAAGCATGTTCAAGGAGATTATGCCAGCCAATACAGGTTGTTAAGGGATTATGTTTTAGAGGTACAAGCACGTAACCCAGATACTACGGTTAAAATTGATGTTGAAAGTGAAGCGAATCCAACTGTTGAGACAAGAACATTCAGGCGTATCTATGTTTGCATTGGAGCTTTGAAGTGAGGTTTTGCAGCGGGAAGAAGGGACTTTCTTGGACTTGATGGAGCCTTCGTGAAAGGTCCATATCCAGGCCAAGTTTCTTCTGCTGTGGTAAGATCTTCTTATTTCTTTTTGTATTGTATGTTCTTAATTTTAAGTAGTGTTAACTGACCAATGTTTTCTGGTAATTTATGTTTCTTATCAAAGGCATTGGATGGTAATAATGGGATATATCCTTTAGCCTATGCTGTGGTTGAATCAGAAACATTGAATTCTTGGACTTGGTTCTTAAGTAATTTGGGTGATGACTTAGGTTTGGGAACAAATTCCAATTTCACATTTATGAGTGACAGGCAAAACAGTATGTTGACAAGGAAATTCAGAAAGTTGTAGGTCCTTTGACTCCTACAGCTACAACAATATTGGATAAGATAAAGAGTTAGGCAGAACAGTATGTTGCAACATTTTGTGGTGCTGGAAAATATCAAGTTGCTGGACCATGGCAAGATCAGTGTATTGTGGATGTAGGTCAACAAAGTTGCACATGCAAAAGGTGGGAATTAACAGGAATTCCGTGAAAACATGGTGTGGCTGCTATTTGGGATATGGGGAGGAATGACAAAGATGTAGGAATCCCAGAATAATTTGTGCATCCATGTTACTAGTTATCAAGATGGAAAGAGATGTATTCTTTTAAGGTTAGTCCAATCAATGGAAGGTCCATGTGGGAGAAGTCAGCTATACCAACAACTCTGTTGCCTCCAAAACATCGTGTTCCCATAGGAAGACCAAAGAAGAAGAGAACAATATCAATTGTGGAAAAGGAGGACTTTGTTAGAGGAAACACAACATTGAGGGCCCATAGATCAGTAACATGTACGAAGTGTAACAATGTTGGTCACAATGCAAGAACCTGCAAAGGGAAAAGACCAATTGTTGGTGGGGGTGGTGGACAATCACAAGTCAAAGGAAGAGGGAAAGGGAAGGCAACCACTTGATGGTTTGTAATAGGGCTAGGCTTTTGTTACTTTAAATATGAACGGATTCTGTTATGTTGCTGCTTGTAATAGGGCTAATATTTTGGTACATTATTTATGAATAGTTTGTAATAGGGGCAGTATTTTGATACTTGTTTTAGCCAATATGTTGGCACTTTTGGATGAACTAGTTTGTCACCATCATTGCCCTGTAATAGTTTGGTACTAATTAATGGAATGTTTTCTTCTTATGATACACCATTGGGTAGATAATAATTTGGTTTATATTGATTTTTACATTTATATTTTCCATAATAGTTTGGTACTAAATTAGATTGTTATATTCTTCTTATGATGTCACCCTCATTGCCCTGTTATAGTTTGGTACTAATTAATGGTCAATATGCTCCTTATACATCACTTTATAACATAATCAATACAACACTGCTACAACCATTACAGGACATTTGCATTACAATACATAGACAACCTAACCAATACATAAACACCATTTTCATTGATCTTAAAAATCTTAACCATCTACATTACAATACATAGACAACTTAACCATTACAGAAAAGGATACCTTCACATTCACTGCTATAACCTAACCATTACAGATAATGATACCATCACATACATTGCTACAACCTAACCATTACAGAAGACTTTACCATTACAATAACAACTCATCCCCACCTTACAACTTGTAAACAAGTATCACTAAGAACAATACCCAACTAATAAATAAACATATTTTCAAGAAAAGATTTTCATTTTTCAGCTTCTTGTTCAACCTCACAAGCCAGGAGATTGTCAATCTGTCACCATGATCCTTTTCATCATCATCTACCCAAGCAATAAATCCTTTACGTGGTTCCTGTCAATTTCAAAAGCCACAGTTACAATACCTATAATCGCATACAGTGATATCCCCATCTAGGGTTACGATTACAAAATTCTCAACTACAACATACCTTAATTGGACATGCGTAAAAGGGTCTTCCTGGATTATTATTAGTAGTTGAAGTCTGAATTACAGCAGCACGCCCACAATCGCATTGAACCATCCTTGATTTGAAGGAGATTAGGTGTAACCGCTTCAAACGATGGAGGATTGAAAGAAACTCTAAATTAGGTTCGATCCTGATGAAAAATTAGTATTTGAAGATCGTTGGAAATGTGAAAAGACTTTTATACCCCCAACGTGCAAGGCACGTGGGGTGTCTAACGGAAACAATTGACGGAATGTGAGAATAGGGACTAGGCGGGTTACATAATTAAAAGTTGAGGACAGTCCGAGTTAGAAAAATAAGTTAGGGACCAAGCATGTAATTTACACTAAACCACAGGGACCATTCGCGTAATTTACTCAAAAAGCTACCCGTCTATTTTAAGTGGCTCAAGAGGTAAGATTGGGTTACAACTTACAACATAAAATGGAAGTAAAAGTGGGTTATATACATAAATGTATTAGGCTACTGGGAGTGGTCGCGGTTTGGAACCGCATTTTTGCCACCTGGACTGCAAACACCGACCCCTGGGTGCGGTTTCCTACGGTTTTGGCCGTAGTGTGGCTAGAAAGGACCGTGTGTTTTGATTGGTTGCTGCATCATTTACCGTTCAACGCTCATTGCGTTTGAATTGATTTTATTTATTTTTTATTTTTTTTACTTTACTCTCTATATATACATACAATTTTTTACATAACCTTCAACCAAAATCCTTACAATTTTACTCTCTTTTCCTCCATTTTTTTTGAAAATGTCTTCTTCCAAAAGGCCCAGTAAAGAAAAAACACCCGTTAGAAACACTAGAACCCCAATACCTTTATTTGATCAACCGATTTTTTCATTTTCGTATTACCACTAATGCGGTACGCTTCCGTATTTTCCACAACGACCAACACAACCACTACCATAAAAACTACCACAACCTGACATAGATTTTAATACATTTGATTTTTTTGTCTCAACCTGAGTTTGTTCAACAAACACAAACACAACCACAAATGGTCGTTTCTGATTCCGAACCGGAATTTGTTACAGAAACTCAGCTCGCTCGAGCAGCAACTAAAAGAAAAGAGAAGGCAGAGGCTAAATGTTGGGAACCCCTAAAAGTGTTAATGTTAGCACAATCTTTGGTCGATATTTCAGAAGATACGATGGTTGGAAAAGACCAAAAACATGATCGCTTTTAGATTCACGTTTTACATAGGTTCCATAAAGGAATGAACCGTGGAGAATACCGTTCAAAACATTAAGTGTACTCAAAATGGGGGAAGATGAACAGGGAAATCATGTTGTTTAATGACTTATATAACAACATGAAACGTCAATGGAAAAGTGGAGAAAACGATGATGTAATTTTGAGGAAAGCACTAAAAGTGTATCAAAAAGAAAACCTGAAGGCTTTCAAGTTTCTTGAAGTTTGGAATTTTGTGAAAGATAACAAGAAATGGCAAAGTAGCAAACGTCAGACGAGCATATCGATAGTGGTTCAAAACACAGCAGAACATCTGAGTCCGACCACACTACATCAGATGCTCGTGTTCAATTTGATCTGAACGAAGATGAACATGTTCCAGTTTCACCACCTTCCCGACCAATAGGAAGAGACAAAGCAAAAAGCAAAGGAAAAAGGAAAAACGTCGGATTCAGATGAGTTGAAAGAAATGGGGGCCGACATGAAGGGTATAAAAGATAAAATTGACATGATTTTGCAAATTGCTTCTGAAAGAGAGCTTCAGAAACAATGGGACAATGACATGCAAGTACTATTGTTGGACATATCGAATATGACCGGGGACGAGCTTGAAGTTATTTTGGCGATGAAGGAGGAAGTAAAAAAAGGTTATGCAAATTGTGGCTAACTTCTAGTTTTTTTCTTCAAGTTTTTAATCGTTTGATGCGTGTTTTTTTAATAAGTTGTAGGTTTTATGTTTCTAATTTGCTTTTCTAAAATTTTAGGTTTTTTTTAAATTAAGCAATGTATGGTATTTGTATTTTTAATTAATGAAATATTATCTTTTTAAAATTATGTTTTTTTATTAAACAAGAAGTTTTATTAAATTAAAATAGTTAAAAAAAACAAAAAATAAAAAGAAATTTAAAGTGTAGCACCACTCCCTTGGTGTGGCAAGAAACCACACTTGTGTAGTAAAAAGTGATGTGACACTTATGTGGCGGTGAAGGGAATCCGGTTTCGGTGGCACCACTCCCTCCGGCCTTAGTAATAGAATACACAAACAAATATGTTATTGTCATTATTAATACTAAAAAGCACTTTCATTTCTTTTGATATGCTAATTTAGTTTCAATTTTTTGATCTTTACTTAACGCATTTATTTTTTCCTCATTTTTTTTCACTTTTTATGCAAAACAAACTATTTATTTTAATTTACATTATTTTGTTATATTTAAGTGGAAGTTTTTCAAGTTAGAATCGGGTTGTAGAAGAAACTAATAATACATAAAAGTTTTAAAAATTTTGAGAATCAATGCAACATCATCTTACACAGAAACCAAACCATATGATGGAGGTTAGTATTTTAATTTTTCCCTAAAACCTAAACTTTTTATGATGAAAGATGATCAATATTATAAGTTGACTTTAAAAGGTATTAGTTTTGTCCTCCAAATTCATAAGTGAATATTTTTTGTACAGGAAATTGATCTATCTATAGGTAGATGCTCATAAACTTGGAAGTGAAACTCAAAGATTAGTTTTTCGAAATGTGTTTAGTAGGTTGTTATCAGTCTTTGATATTTTGGTTAGTAGGTTGTTAACAAATATTAGGTTGTTATCATATTCAAAACATCAAGAAGACAAGTCCAGACATATATATTTTTAATGTGTAAAATCGATGTTTGATAAAGTTTTAAAAACCATATAAATCATGACTTTTGAAAGGCTCATTCACATCAATAAATTCTATTTTGATGGTATTTTGGTCAAACCATGGCTACATCTTGTAAGGTTGTTTTAAGTTTCAATGACTTTAAATGGCTTTTATTTTAAAGGGCTCATTCACATCAATGATTTCTA